TCCGACTTCCCTCACTTTAGGAGTCATTTGCATGATTCCCTTACCCATCATTTTTCTACCCTTCGCCGGCCCTCACGCCCTAGTTAGGCAGCCCCGCATGCTTCATCTACGTGCGCCCAGTATACCAGGCTCCCTTGTTCCCTTGCATGGTCGACCCTCCATAGCGGTCACCCCTTAGTCGAGCATTACCCGCCCTGATGGTCTATCTGTTAGGGTCATTGGTTCTGTTCGCTACCAGTTCCCTACCCTCATTGAGCCTGATGACATGTGTTTTCCCCTGTCACTATGTGTGGATGCCCTTAGGAGTTTTCGACCCCTAGGATGCATTCGCCACCCTCAGAGACCATCCCACCCTTTGGTGTGCGACACACTTCTCATGTGACATATGGTTGTCTTGTTGATTGCTTTGTTGCTCTCAGACTAAGGCTACTGCCTCCGACGTTTCTAGGATTTAGCTGTTCTGCTTTTGTTGTTCTTAGGACTTATACACTAGTCAGTTGTTACCAGACTGAGGCTAGTGCCTCCAACATTTTAGGATCTAGTTGTCACTACTTTTTGCTTTCCTAGGACATGTATGTTAGTTAGTTGCTCCTACTTTCACTTAGGCTGTTAGCTGTGACATTGTTGTTTTGTGACATTTTATATCCTAGGTTGCATCGCATGGACTCAGCATGGAGCTTGCTCCGCATCCTAGACTACTCAGGTTTTCTTTTCTTTGGTAGAGTTCCGCTTCTTGGCGGAAGCATGTTTGTATCTAGGCGATCCWTCACAGGCCGAGGATCGTGTAGCGGACCTCGGGTTGGCCTGTGAGACCAGCCCCTTGGCCTGTTCTCACAGGCCTGTGTTATATTCGGGGTAGGCCAGTCCAGGCCGGTACCTCTGTCGSTACCAGCCAGTCCAGTCCAGTCCCGTCAGTCCGCTGGGGTATACCCCAGCTATTGTCTGTTTTCAGGCTCATTCCTCACTTGCACATTTTGGAGTACGTGCGTTGGAGTCTTGCGTGGGGAGCTGCGTTGTGCCATCTTGCTCCCCCTTCTTCCTCCATCTCCATCTCTGTCACTAGCGGAGCACCACACCTGGTGGGTCCGCTACACCTGATGAAACGCAGGATTGGATTGAGTAGTGCGTTGAATAAATGATGTATGATTAGGTAGGATTTTTGCGCTCTGCCCTTTTGCCATGTGGACCGACAGCCCCAAACCGATTGGGCGCCGACTTCCCGTGCCCCGTTGCGCCCCTTCCCGTACAACGAGGACAGGACGTGTGTATGCGAGTGGGACGTACGAGAAGCTGTCGCTAAGATCGGCGGGCGTTATTACTTTCCACCCGAGACCCGGTGCTCCGGACTCGTCGATGCGGGATTCGTCATAGTCGATACACATTTTCCGCCTTATATGTTGTTGTTGTCGTTTAATGAGTTGATCGTTATCCCGTGGTCGATAGTGGTGCCTCGTTGGCCCAACACTCTGTGCAATGATTGTCGCCGCACTGAGTGTTACCGAGCTAAAGGCTTCCATTACCACACACGTGGCGAGGACGAACACAAGGAAAGAGCCACTCGATTGAGGCCCTCCACGTCGGACTCGGAGTTGTGTAGTGAACGCCGACGGGACCTCATCCGAAAACAGGATACTACGTGTGTACCCTCCCCCTTTCATTCGAAATGCAGGCAAAGGGCTCGCTGGGAAGTACAATGATACTTTTTGGATTGAATTTCCCATCACCTTGAGCCCCCCGCGCGCCTTTTTCTTTTTGCAACTAAAGCGGCGATGGAACCCTTCTTACTAAAGTCGGACCAACACGGGGGATCTCAGTTCTGTCTGTGTCCCCAAACTCAATTTTCCCAAAAATCCTTGGCACAGCCCATCTTTGTTGTTCTTCCCGGGCCTTTCCGCAAACCAAAACGCTCCGACCGGAAAACAGCACAGGGCACACGCACTGTGTGCTTGTGCTGCGTGGCTCGCACTGCGTGTGCGAGCAGTGGCTCGCGCGATGGCAGTGTGCTAGTGAAATGGCTGCGTGCTCGTGCGGACGGTTGGGTGCTCGCGCGATGGTCGGAGTGTTGGCTGCATGCTTGCACGACGGCTGGAGAGCTTGTGCACTGGCTGGCTGTGTGCTCGCGCGACAGCTAGAGTCTATGCATGTGATACTCAACCTCACACCCCCAGACAGCGTCCCGTACCCGTGGGACGCTGATCAGAGTAATTGGGGCATGGCCAAGGATTTTGGGCGGGGGTTGAACCACCAAACGATAACGGGGTTCTCGCCTCAGTCCCAAGGGTTGTTTCGGAATCTCTAGTCGATCGGGATAAGCACAAACTTCCAAAATTTGGATAAGCATCGAAGGGCAGGGCGTGGGCAAAATTCCACCGGTCAGCTTGAGGATAGAAACACAACTCATTCGACACCAGACATAACCACAAAATACTATGCCAAAAAGAAGAAGGAGACAACGGATCTATCACTTTTCTCCTGTTAGGTTCAAGTCATCCTTCTTGGCGGGGGTCAAGGAGACAATGGACGCCCTAAGCGCCCGAGTCGGGCTCACGAGGTTCGTCCGATCGGCTGGAAGTCTCGTCGTCCGACGGAGGCGAGAGCGGGGGCACCCAGGTCTGGAAGTTCATCGGAAGATCTCCCGTGTTAAGGGAGAGATCTGGGAACCGGATGGGCCCTTCGTAGC